AAGCGCTAAACCCGGAGGATTATACAGCGCCTGGGGGGGGGGGATGTGGAAGGCATTCAGGCTTAATTCGGGGAACTGGAGCACTGATCCAATTCCCTAAATCAAGAGCCCCTCACCAACATCAAGGAACCTTCCTTGAGGGGTTATTTAGGTATGAATACTGGTCAGAGAGCCCGTTGTAAGTCTGAAGTGTCGGTAAACGAGTACGTCGCTAAGTGAAGAGAGGCTGTACACTAAATTCTTATGGATCACACCTGGGAAATTGAGGGTGACGAATTATTATTATTATAATCAAGGGGGAAGCGCTAAACCCGGAGGATTATACAGCGCCTGGGGGGGGATGTGGAAGGCATTCAGGCTTAATTCAGGGAACTGGAGCACAGATCCAATTCCCTAAATCAAGAGCCCCTCACCAACATCAAGGAACCTTCCTTGAGGGGTAAGACATGAGGGTGACGAAGTTTGATCCAAGTGAAGGATAGTTAAATACTTTTAAATCAAAAGCCTTCCTTACTGTAAATTATAATAATCAAAAAGAAGTGCTAAACCCATGAGGGTCATACAGCACAGCTGTAAATAAGGCATGTGCAACAGACATTAGTCATTGTGCCCCATACCCCAGAGCACCAGGCTGATGTTATGTTGTTTCATCTCATCCTGCCCTGTGCAATGGCTTGAGATAATCCTTGTAAATAATTTCACTAATTTGTGAATTGTTAAGCATTCTACAAATCTCCGAGGGTCCGGTGCATGAGAGAGGAAAATTGACAAGTTTGGTGCTTTGGAATAAGGGAAATAATGCCTAGTGCCTACTGGACACCTATACTTAGCCCAGGATCTGACTGTAAAGTATTAGAGCCGTGTACTTTGATGCATTGCATGCAGGTTTGAGTCCTGCTCTAGTCTGAGATAATAAACCAGGGAACGGGTGGGATACGAACCCATGGTGAGCAAGTCCTGGAACTCCAGGCCAGTGCATAAGCTGGTCGAGTGGTTAACTCACGGTTCAAACTCCACCCGTTCCCTGGTTTGTTTGTAACTGCATTATTACGAAGTCGTGGGTCTGAGATAATGTTTATTCATAAATATATATACACATACATTTTTTAACACTCTGGCTGTCTCCCACCAGGGAAAGCACTAAACCTATAGGGGTCATACAGTACCTTGAGGCAGCATAACTTTTTAAATGAGGTAAGGTAGGATAACATTATTACATTCAGGGGGAAGCAATAAACCCATTGAGGGCCAAGGAGCCAAGTCTCCTCCCCAGCAAACACAACATGGCAAATATATTGCCTGGAGAATGAGACACTCAGGTTTGATGTAAGGAAAGAGAAGGCAGGTCCAATTATTTGAATAAAAAGCCAGTCGCCAACGTCAAGGAGCCTTCCTTGACGGGTGTCTGGAAACGTGTGTAGCGTGATTTATAAGCCTTGTTCTTACTTCCATATTAATTAATGTAAATAACAAAAACATTTTGCATTATAAAAGTTATAGTATTTATCAACACATGCATGGGTTTGATTGAATTAATATAATAGTATATATGTACTTCTGCATGGCTTGAGGGGAAAGACATGGGTCCATGACCCCAAGCCATGGAGAAGTGCATAAATTCAGTATTAAGTCATTTTTACTTCCGTGCCAATTTACGTAAATAAGGAAGGGTTTGGGATACTGGCTTTTTGAAGGGACATCTAAACTGTCGTATCTGAGCGCCTCTGCAAAGACAGTGATTATGTATGAATGATGGTGAAAGTGTTGAATGATGATGAAAGCTTTATCTTTTTGGGTTTTTCTTTCTTTTTGAGTCATCCTGCCTCAGGTAGCATTTATCTACACATGTATGGCTTTGATTGAATTAATGAGGGTTTATTGTAGGAAGAAAATTATCACTAACACTAAGTTACACTCACAAAAAAATAAAAAGGAGTGTACAGTATGCAAATTGTATACATAATCAGAAAAATTTAGTTTATACTTCATGCATCACACTATTATTAAATTCCTGGGAAAGTGCTAAACCAATAATGGTCATACAGCACTTGAGCAATGGGAGGGGTGAGATGTATAATGTGATTAAGTTTGATCTGAAGAAGGGGAGGGTAGCTCAAATTTCTTGTATCAAGAGTCTTTTAGTAGCATCTGCATCCTTCTTGAAATAGTATTTTATCATGCTTTTGTATGATAAAATTATAAACAATATTCAGAATACAACTTTGATGAATTCCCTTGCTGCACACTTTGAAATTCATGAATTATTATATTCACAGAGAAGCATTAAATTTGTAGTAGTCATAGTACCTGTGAAATGAGAGGATATCAGGTTTGATCCAAGGAAAGGGTTGCTCCAATTCCTTGTATCAAGAACCTTCAGCATCATGGCATTTTCCCTTGGAGAGAGAGAGAGATCTGGTTACCTGCTTCATGGACTTCGTGAGATACACGACATCAATAACGATGGTGAAACACCTTCACCTCACTATCCCCACCCACGCTGGAGCAACACTACACACATTATGAGCCTCAGGATTAATGAAGAGTTATGTGAAAGTAACTATCACAAGGCCTGGGAGTAGCAACAAGAGAACAAGGATACATACCCTATAATGCCTACCTGACTCCAGCCAAAAGTACTGCAGACTGCTGGCAGGCCATATGCTAAATCCCTCATCCATTGCCACCCAAAGTCACAGCTTGAGGGAGGTCACAATCTACAAACTTTATCAAAACCTACTAACTGCTAGTTTGAGCAGTAAATATACGTATGGACTGATAAACAATGTATCACCAGACCATGTAAAAGCTAAGCATGACCCACTGATGATTGAAAAGTGGTGAGGACAGAATATACCACCTTACCTCATATCTGCTACCAAAGAACTATACTGCCCATTGAAGTGCTGTTGTTTCAGGGGTAGAACTTGCGACTTCTCTGCAAGCAGAGGTGAGGTTCCTATAAATCAGATTTTTATATGCCAGTAGTACATTACTGAATTAAAATATTCAGAAGCCCTAAAATATGTTAATATAACTTCTGAAAAGTTCCCGAAATCACAATTATTTTAGCTAAGAATTATAGTCTACTGAATGAGCTGTACATATTTTTTAAGTATAAGATGCATTGGAAAGTGCTAAACCCAAAAGGGTCATCCAGTGCTGCATATGACATAGATGAGAGAGGAGGGTAAGAAGAATGTCAGCTGAAAGGTTGAGGGTTACAGCTGATGAAGCAAACTGATGTATTAAGGAATCACAGAGTGTGTTTGCAGGAAAGGTAGGATCATCAAGAGACAAGGGTGCATAAAGCAAGTATGATAGAACAATTTTTTTAATACTGCAGGTATGTCTAATGGAGCAAGGGTTAGTAACTCTTTCTCTTGTACAAATTACAAAATTTAAAAACAAAACCTTTCACTTCTCTTTTTATGTCACCCAGCCTAGGTGGGATACTGCCATCACCCACCGAGGAGCAGTGACCCTAAGAGAAGAAACAAAAGCTTTTCTTCTTTTTACATTTAGTAATTTATACAGAAGGGGTTACTTGCACCATTTTTAAACATATTTTATACAATTTTAATTATACCAAAGTCTTTCATATTTATCATAATGCTACGAAGTTACTATACAAGGTACAAATATCACAATTTTTCAGTAGGAATCATTTTTTATAGTAGCTCAACAATTTAAATCAAATCAATGTTTTTTCCTGTGAAGCAAATATTCATTTAACATTTTCTTCTAGAGAAAATTCCTAATTATACCTAAACTATAAGTTTCAAACTTTTCTATGCAAGACAAGCCAGCTTAAGGTGAGGCTTCTCTTGTGTACAGAATGTTTGGAGCTATGTACGGAGAGTGATCCAGGAGACAACTATATATGTCACAGAGAATAATGAAAATTGTCTGGTTGTGCAATATGCAAAATAAACTTGTATTAGCATTACATTTGGTCAGGGGTTGACCTTTATCAAGTCATACAAAGGATACTTTTTACACATTTGTATACTTATGGAGAGTGAGGCAAGAACAATAAAGAATTGCATGTAAGGTGCTGATGATGACGTAAGGACTAAAGAATCGTATGTACGAGGTTTATCGTCAGCAGCAGCACCTGACATGATTCTTTATCTCTCTTATTAGTAAATGTGTAAGATGCATTGTAAATTCTGTATGAACTGATAGTCAACCCTGAGTGAAACAGTCCCAATAATTGCTTGTTCTGAATCTTGTCTATTTATATCTCTATCTGTCTGCATTATGCCCCAACTTCCTGTCTAGTTGCAAGACATCACCAAAATGCATAGTATCACCACCATCACTAGCTCTTCCTAATTAAGTTAATTTAGAGAGACACCTGGCAAGAAATAAAAAATACTGAAGAAAAGAAGGTACAGATATAATATTTGCACTCATCCTTTTAAAATTCAGCATTACTAAAAACTAGCATAGAGAACAAAAAGGCACAATACAGTGACTGGAACAATACACAAATAACCCGCACATAGGAGAGAAGCGTATGACAACATATTGGTTCAACTTAGACATTTACAGGTCGGACCAAAATGTCATTACAAACTTCTCTCTCCTACGTGTGGGTTATTTATGTAACTAGCATAGTATCATACTGCTGCAGTACAACAAACATCTAGAGAAATATGAACTAAGAATCAACAACACTGAATATAACATCATAGAAAAAAAGCAGAATGGTAGCAGCTAAAACTTAAAAGACTGATGCTTGCCAGATACACTCTTACTGTCAAGACTACAAACATTCTTAAAAGACCAACAAATGTGTGAATACACTTGGGTGTAAGAAGTCCTAGACTGTTCATTCTGTTGGCAGTGCATACATGTGACAAGCATCAGTCTGTAAGTTCAGGCTCACACTACTGGGTGTTTTCCATCTACAGCAAGTCTCAATAATTTTATTAACAAAATACATACTGACTTGTTACAAAAAAAGTATCATTTAGTTTATAAAAACTAGAAACTACTTATACAAAATATTTTATTGATATAACAAAGCTTTACTGATGAAAAGGCAGATGACATGACAATATTTTCATTCCACAGATCACAATTTGTCTTACTCTGGTAAACAATGGTAGATCTCAAGCTGAAATAAAGACACTGGTAGCTGGGAAGCCACTTATGATGATGTTTCACCCAAGGCTGAGCTGTATCAGGTATGATAATGCTCAATCTTGGGTTAAACGTCATAATAAAATCCTTGCTACCGGTGTATTCCCTTGTGTTATTGCATAGTGTACATTTAACCATTTATCGTCCTCTTATAATTAAATACGTACAGCCATATATTTAATTTACCTAAGAATACTTAACAAATAACAAGTTTAAGAGAAATTACCAATGAAGGAAATATCTACATAGCCAAATGAGTTTTAGGTCAAATACTGACTGAGTTCAGAGAAGAACTTCACTCTCATCTCATGATAAAATGAAATTAAATACTATATACAGTGGAACCTCAAAAATCGAACTGCTCCTAACACGACCAATTATGTAAGTGTATTTTTGTAAGCGCTTTTATTAGTGTATTTTTGAGGGTTTGAAATGGACTAATCTAATTTACATTATTCCTGATGGGAATAAATTAATTCGGTAAAGGCACTCGAACAGCCTTCTGGACCGAAGAAAGTTCGATTTTTGAGGTTCCACTGTATAATGGTGTTAAAGCATTTCCAAAAATATTTTTTCATATGAATAGCAATAAAAACTACAATATAAATGTATCAATCAATTCATATATGCTAGATATTATTTTTAAAACAATAAAGCAAATTTTCATAAAAAAAATATAAACAATCTTAAATGCAATGAGAAACATTGTCTGAATCTAAGCCATTTATTTTAGGAATCATTTGAACACCTCAGCCTGTCTGTACGTACCCCCACTGTTATACTTTGCAAAGCTTTCCCCTCACCATGATGCAAAAAATCGTCCTTCTGTTAGGTTGCAGTAAAGTACCGTATATAGCGTATCAAATTAAAATATTTATAATTTGTTTATACAGGAGTAACTATTAATTAAACCGAAGCATATAACTGAGAAAAAATGCAAGTCTTGAAAGATATCAAGTTACATGTTGATTAACTGTGTCTCAGGAATGCAGCCATCACAATGTTGTAGCATCAGGTGCAATATTTTCTATAGTATCCCACCAACGCGATCACGAGGAATAAGTCGAAGTTCCGAGCCATGTTTCAAAAACACACTCCCTGAAAGAACATCCACAAATTATATGTGTAAAAACATGACAAAGCATTATTTAAAATATAGTAAAATACTGTAATCTTAAATTACATAATTATTTAATTTTTTTTTCACATTTTTTTAGCTAGTTTAAAAGTGGTAAAAAATATTTTTAACTTGACATTAATGTCAAGTGATAACACAAGGGTACACATGTTACATTTCAGAGGGTCATTTGAATTGTGATACTTGTGCTTTTCTGGCAAGACAGCTGTTGAATGAATGTTAGTAAATATTTCCTTGTTTGGCTCACCTCACCATTTTAGTTATTTATTTTATTTATTTAGTAATTTGAACATACATACAGAGGTACAAAAAAATACAGGTAAGAGCAGCATGCCAAAGCCACTTATATGCATAGCATTATGGGCTGGCTTAAAATTAACTTAAGATTAACTAAGCAATGATGTAATCAGTGATAAAACATTATTGTAAACAGATAACAATAAAGCACAAATGAGTATTACAAAGACAGGTCATATGGTTGCATGCATTGCTGTACATTCAGTCCAATGGAGTATTCTGTTAGGTAGTGTATTTAAAAAATAATAAAGTTAGATTGGGTTTTAGGTTTAACATTTATGTGATATAATTGTGAGAAACATTTAAGATATACAATTTATAAGGTTCAGTTATTCAGTATTTATTTGGTTTTGAGTGAGTAAGTGATCTTTGAGAAGAGACTTGAATTTATAAACAGGTAGTGTTTCTTTTATATTTACAGGTAATGGATTCCAGATTTTAGGGCCTTTTATGTGCATTGAGTTTTTGCATAGCGTGAGATGGACACGAGGAACATCAAAGAGTGATCTGTGCCTTGTGTTATGGTCATGTGTTCTGTTGAGGTTGGCAAGGAGATGTTTGAGGGGAGGGTTAATATCAGAGTTAAGTGTTCTATGTATGTAATAGGTGCAATAATAAGTATGGATGTTTTGTATGGTGAGTAGGTTGAGTGTTTTGAATATTGGTGGAGTGTGCTGCCTGTAGTGATGGAAGATGACCAATGTGGTAAAAAAAACTGAAGTTTACTGCTAGGCTGACTCTGGTAAACATCTTCCCAAGAGACAGAGACAGGAAGATCAAAACACATGCAACATTCTCTTCCACAAATACCGTAATATGGACACTATTTAGGTCTTTTAAAAAAACAAAAGTGCCATGATATTATACTGAATCAATTGCTAATTTTATTATATACAAGTTCACTTTAAAACATTTCCCTTTTAGATGGAGTAGAATACTGTACTGTAATTACAATGTAAAATGATTAGAATGTTTAATTTATTAGTGTAAAATGATTAGAATGTGTAAGGATGGGAGTGGGCAGGCTTCAGCCTCCTCAGAAATTACCTCAGCCCCCAAAATCACTCCAATAAAAATAAGCAATAAAAACACTGCTTCAAAAATGTGTCTCCACCCCCTTCCTTTCAAACCAGATAGCCATGCCAAAACCCTCCCTTCAGTACAGAAATTTTGGCACTGCTCCTGAATGTTACTGGATGTTAACATAAGGGTAACAGCGCCAGCTTACCTGCTGCCTGACTTGGGTTAATGCCAATGCCGTCATCAGTGATGATGGCGGAAGTGGCTGGAGCCACCTTAAATTCTTCTGCAGCAAACTTTAAGACAGCTGTAAAGGGTGTGTTCTCTGGAACACTCAATCTGGAAAATATGGAATTAAATGATTATTATATTCACAGGAAGTGCTAAACCCACAACCACCATTCTGTGGTACATGGAAAAGTTGGCGGAGGGGGAGTTAATTGGAGGTGTTGAGGGATTGACAGTGGTAAAGAGGAGATAAGGAGTATACTCTACTGAATGTGCAACTTTTCATGTTACCACCAGGATATTATGTACAGATTGTCCTCTTTCAGGAGGCAGAGACACTTAACTACTTGAAGAAGATCCATGCTGGCAGTATGCTCCTGGTGAATTATACAACATACTCCCAACTAGTACCACTGCTGCAGGCATACACATACCATCACATATGTATGTATTACATTATTGTCATTATAAACTAGATTTTACTTAGCAGTGTTTGAAGTCTGAGGATTTACAGAGATCTCAAAAACTCCCAGGAGTTTGAAGATTACTATACATACCTTACATGATTTGTATTTACAAAATATTTACTGCATGGTTTGATTTTATGGCTTTCATGGAAATGTAACAAAAATTTTGCACCCACTTTTTATTTCGAATATTAAAATACTTAACCATCAGGTGATGACAGAAAATTGAGGGGAAAATGTCTTCCCACAACATTCCACTTGGTAAAGTGTTTGTGCTAACAACTAAAATAAATTATGCTTCAAAAACTAATAACAGACTTAGTCAGCTCAGATAAAACAATATTTTCAGGTTCTTGAAATTTTTAATGATGTTCAATTAAATTATGAGTTTGAAGGCTGTCATAATAAAATTCTGTACTTTACACAAATTATATAGAAAGGCTGGTGAAGAGATACACAGGGATGAGTAATGTACATGGGACAGAAGTCTGCTATTGAGTGAGCTCGATACAGCAGCCTTTGCCCTGGGATCTGTATATTCATTTCCTTGGACAGCAACCTGGCCTAGGTACCAACCTGGCCTAGGTACCAACCTGGTCTAGGTACCAACCTGGTCTAGGTACCAACCTGGTCTAGGTACCAACCTGGTCTAGGTACCAACCTGGCCTAGGTACCAACCTGGCTTAGGACACCACGAGCCCCACATCCCTGTGCTGCTAGCTGGAAACCAAAGTAATGGATCCTATAGGTGTAGAGGAATGTTACTTTTATTGTTGTATCATGGGGCAGCACTAAATCTGTTAGGTAAATGGACACAGAACAGAAATCCCTCTGCCCAGTGCAAGACTTCTCTGCAAGATATTAAGAATGGACTATGTTAAAACACTCCCCCAATGGAGAGCCAATGCCGGGTCACCTCATGGACAAGACCCGGGCCTGGACTATGCCGGTGAATCAAATTATGGTGAATTATGCCATGGGTCGAATACTGCTCACTTTAATAGTTAACTTGGAAATGAGTGTGATATTTATTATTTTTTGTTGGAAAGTGAATGCCCTAGACCAGCATGCCCAACCTGTGGTCTATAGTCAAAATAATTTTCAAATTAAAATATCTCTTTAGTGCAATAGCTCTGCTGACATAATACCCTTTCTTCTCTTCATAATTATAGTTTTTGTTTAAACAAACCATCCAGTTTTTTGTTGCGGTCCCTCACTATTACAAAATACAAGTGTTCCATATTGAATATTTGAGGGGACAACAGCTCTAAGCTACATTCACCAGCAATATAAAAACACTTGGAAAATTGCATTGCATTTTTTCTTCAAAATATTAAATTCTTGTTAAACCTTCTAATATGAACCTGATTTTGGATACTGAAACAATATATTTGAATATTATTTATTTAAAAATATAAATGCTAAAAAATATTTAGTTCCCCCCAAAATTTTAATTCTGTAATGAATTAAGAAAGCATGATTTGTAAAATATTAAAAAGCTAAAATGTGATAAATGAACAATGTAAACAAAACTAATATCAGAATACATATTGATATCGACTCGTATTTTCGTTCAACTACAGTATTTCAATATACACCTACCATCCGACTTACGACCTGCTCGACTTACGACCACTCGACTTACGACCATGTTTTTTATGCCAAATTTCTGGGAAATAAATAACTATTTGTGTTGTACACAGTGTTTATCCTAAACCTTACAGTATAAAATACAGTACATGTACTAACAACATAAAAAGTAAAGTAAATCATGAAATACCAAAATAAAACAATAAAATAAAGCCATTACAAAAATGTTTTGTTGATATTCAGTAGTAAAGTTCGACTTACGACCATTTCAACTTACGACCGGTTTCTCGGAACCGAACTCGGATAGTAAGTGTACATAATATCAAGTGATTAGAAACCTCAAGAGAGAAAAAAAGTAGCCTAAACTGATTCTCATATATTTACAGTAATACAAATTAGAATGTAAATGTTCAGGAAAGTATTTAGCTCTTTGGAAAATATCTTTAACATAATGAGAAACATTTCCAATAATTGACTGCATGTCATAAATCAATACATGGCAGAGGCAAAACAGATGAGAGAAAGAAAAAGAAAAAAGTGTGTACAAACATGTGCGCATGTGTGTGTGAAAGGAAGAATATCTACAGATAAAACAAGGGAAGGAAAGATGAGGGAAGGAAGGACAAGGGAAGGAAGAATGAAGGAAGGGAGGGCGAGGGAAGGGGCTGAAGTAACAAATCAGTCAGTTAAGAAATTATGAAGTTTGCCTCAGATGTGAGACTAAAGGATAGCAGGGTAAACATTACTATTATTATTATTATAATCAAGAGGGAAATGCTAAACCAACAGAGGTTATAGTGCATGGAAAATGGGAGGCAATCAGGTATGATCCAAGTAAGTAAAGCACAAGTTCACTTCCTTGGATCTAAATCCCCCTCACTGGTATCAAGGCACTCTGGGTGGACAACGTTTGCCAGGGCATTGAAAAAACGTGTTTGAGATCAAGTTGGCACACACTGATAAACAGAACAATCATGTGTATGACTTGATAATTACCTCTTTATATAGGTACCTACTCTGGTATTATTATTTGCAAAATGACTTGGATGTATGATGAACTTTTTTCCTTCTAGTAACATTACTTTTCTAAACAATGGGTGTCTTAGAACACTGTGGTGTTCACTGTGGCAGTATTCCACTCACTGTAATACAAACTACATTTGATCCCTCAAGTTTGTCTTACTTAGGTTGCAATCAACTTTACAACCAGACTGCATCTTGAAATAAAAAGAGTACTCCTTTAAAATGAACAATACAATTATTTTTACAATATTTACCAGTATTATATTATCTTGGCATGTTGCTGCATGTTTCATTTAAATATCATTTCAAGCTAACAATGTATGAAGGTTATTACAGAAATTTACAAAATATTGTGTATTAAGAAAACAATAGTAAGCAAGTTCCTGTAGGAGTGTTTCTATTTATGTGTTGGGTGAGTTCAAACACTGTATGTAAAGAAAAAATTGGTAGAAAATGGGAATGTTAGATAATGAAATTAGAAATGTATGATATAGAATAGAGAAATGATTTAAATAAAAGAATTACAATGGAAGACTAGTATTTTTTGCAGTGCAGAAGTGAATTACGTATTTGATGGTTCTGCAGAGTGCTATTATACACACAACACTGATCACTTATAATAGTTTTTAATAGTAAATTTCAACTCAATGGAGAAAAATGGCTTGCTTTCAATACAAATAAATACTATACTACTACATTACAGCTTTAAATTGTACTATTTTATTATCACACTGGCCGATTCCCACCAAGGCAGGGTGGCCCGAAAAAGAAAAACTTTCACCATCATTCACTCCATCACTGTCTTGCCAGAAGGGTGCTTTACACTACAGTTTTTAAACTGCAACATTAACACCCCTCCTTCAGAGTGCAGGCACTGTACTTCCCATCTCCAGGACTCAAGTCCGGCCTGCCGGTTTCCCTGAACCCCTTCATAAATGTTACTTTGCTCACACTCCAACAGCACGTCAAGTATTAAAAACCATTCGTCTCCATTCACTCCTATCAAACACGCTCACGCACGCCTGCTGAAAGTCCAAGCCCCTCGCACACAAAACCTCCTTACCCCCTCCCCTCCAACCTTTCCTAGGCCGACCCCTACCCCGCCTTCCTTCCACTACAGACTGGTACACTCTTGAAGTCATTCTTTTTGCTCCATTCTCTCTACATGTCCGAACCACCTCAACAACCCTTCCTCAGCCCTCTGGACAACAGTTTTGGCAATCCCGCACCTCCTCCTAACTTCCAAACTACGAATTCTCTGCATTATTTCACACCACACATTGCCCTCAGACATGACATCTCCACTGCCTCCAGCCTTCTCCTCGCTGCAACATTCATCACCCATGCTTCACATCCATATAAGAGCGTTGTAAAACTATACTCTCATACATTCCCTCTTTGCCTCCAAGGACAAAGTTCTTTATCTCCACAGACTCCTAAGTGCACCACTCACCCTTTCCCCTCATCAATTCTATGATTCACCTCATCTTTCATAGACCCATCCGCTGACATGTCCACTCCCAAATATCTGAATACATTCACCTCCTCCATACTCTCTCCCTCCAATCTGATATCCAATCTTTCATCACCTAATCTTTTTGTTATCCTCATAACCTTACTCTTTCCTGTATTCACTTTTAATTTTCTTCTTTTACATACCCTACCAAATTCATCCACCAACCTCTGCAACTTCTCTTCAGAATCTCCCAAGAGCACAATGTCATCAGCAAAGAGCAACTGTGACAACTCCCACTTTATGTGTGATTCTTTATCTTTTAGCTCCACGCCTCTTGCCAAGACCTATGTACTATATATTAAAAATGTCTTGTGCATATATTAACTCATTACACTGTATCAGTTACTGTCACTGTTTGATTTTCTTGATATCAGACTATTATCAACCTTTCCCTTTTTCTTCAGATTTGCATCTTTGATTATATCTGTCCATGTACTGCCTCCATCTTCTAAACACCAGTCACATACAGTCACATGTACATGTGCAGCTAATAATTTATTCTGTAATATTGATGCATACACACACACCAAATCTTGGTAGCTTAGGATAGAAGTAGCTGGATTTTTTGGCATCCAACTACACCCTTCAGCACAATAGTAAGGTTCTAATTTTTGTACCTCTGTATTAAGAATTAAAAGAACCATCTTAAAGATGTTAGGGCAACTGCTTAAAATTTCACATAATAATGATGATGACAAAGTACAAAGGTCACGAACGACCCTCCTGTGCTGCCGCCAGTCTTGTGGACGATGTAACACACCTTCCAACCAAGCAATTATCTGTAGACTCAGGTTAACATTTTCCTTAGCACTGCCCATATCATCCAGTTTTACAGTCTCAAGAATCTTGGAAAGTCCACCTGGCTGCATCACCATTTTATCGAGACAGTCCTGCACCTGTCTTGGCGCAGAATAGTTGGCAGTCTCAAGGATTAACCTTATTTCTAGTTTCTTTTGCATCTCATCATCAACTGTTTCTTTCATTCTATGTAAAACTTGCTTATAGAAATCTTCTTGCTGTGCGACTTGCTTATTGAGCGTAGCCAACCCATCTGCGCCCAGCAATGTGTGAGTAACTTGTTGCACATGCTCTTTAACACTAGCATCCAATAATTGGTTCTGCATCAGGAGACTTAGTAGTAGTTGACGGGCATTCTGAAGATCGTGTAAGACCAGTACCCACTGGGATTGCTTAGATATGCAAGAGAGAGCAATATCCATATTACTGTTTTGAAATTTCCTTGCTGCTCTCTCACAGTAGGCAGCCCAAGATGCTGCTTTGTCAATGTCATCCTTAGTCCAGTTGGTTTTGTTAATGGCAGCTGGAAGGAGGTCATGCATGAAGTACAACATGTTATGGAGCACATCCTTCCACATGCTGAAAACTTACTTTTACAATAACTGCCTCTAGAAATTTAAAATTATATTTTATTTTCATCTCACTTTTGACTTCAAATTATACCTAGGAAATTAAATGTTATTTTCTAGGAAATGTGGAACAATTAGTGTCACAAAGTTATTATTATGCCTATAGCAGGTTTCTTCTTCTCAACTGCTACAGAGGGTTATGGTGCAACCTTCCTCAACGGGGAAAAGAAAGTATTCCCTGATCCATCTATACAACATTTACACAGTCCAAAATCGTATTTTATGAGGGTAATTATTTTGTTGACTTTGTGAACAATTGTACTGGAATTAACAGTTATGACTCCTGCACTAAAAACTGATTTCATTAAAAATATAACTTCATTTCTTCTAAGTTGAGAATCCTGCTTGTGCTGAGCAGACAGCCTCCCTCCTCCCTCAGTAGTCCACTTTACTCTGCTCAGGACAGGGTTCATCTGCTGAGAGAAGAGGAAGGCCGCATTCAGTCTTGACTTGTGATAACATTTTGCTTTGTGTATCATGCTTTTTAGGTACAAGTTGTCATCTTGGCTTATAAAGCAACAATTGTTTTGACAAGCAAGTGCACATTTATTGTTGCAATAATGCAACACAAATCAACCTGAACATCCCAATATCAATATAGTATTTCAGTGATGTGTAATACTAACAAAATTTAGGCCCACATAAGATAAGTTTGGCAGGACTGAGTTAAATTATACTGCACTAATTTTAGCAATTTGGCAAAGTTGCTAAGTTAATCCTGGTGCAAAATTATAAATTTGAATTTTGTAGATTGTTAAACTTACAATGTTCTAAATATTTTTCGGGCAGCTCAGCTTGTCTGACTCACTGACTACCTAAAAAGCATGTCACATATATACACTGGTGGACTTCATAGGTATATTCTAGATTAAATTCTACATAAAACCATCGTAAAATTCTAAAATTATGTTTGTGTTTTCAATATACCAGCCGTCACCTACTGTGGCAGGGCGACCCGACAAAGAATAAAACTATAAAGTTTATCTTCTTTTTACATTTAGTAATTTATACAGGAGAAGAGGTTACTAGCCCCTTGCTCCCGGCATTTTAGTCGTCTCTTACGACATGCATGGCTTACGGAGGAAAGATTCTTTTCCACTTCCCCATGGAGATGAAAGGAAAATATACAGTAAGGCCCCGCTTTACGGGTGGAGAGACAACATTACGTTTTCTCTGTTCAGCCATCAGAGAAAACGTGTATGAATCTGTGTTTGGCCCAGCCACTCCCTCACTCCGCTTTTGTTTACAATTTTCGGCATGAATTATTCATTACTTCTACCTTCGTTTATGATGGCATCTAAAGGTAGTTGTTAGAAATGATTAAATTCAGTGAACAAGGCATGTCGATGTTAATAATATGGCTCTGGGCCACAGTGTAGGTAGCCGGTAGGTGTAGCCCAGGCGGGCTACACCTACCAGCTACCTACACTGACTTCCTACAAATAAATACTACTCACCTCTCTTCCTATATTAAGACTACACATATTTTAAGGTAAATAATGAGTGTACTGTATGTGTATTTTACCTCTCTGGGATGTTTTAAATATCGTATATTAAGTATGAAACAGGGAGCCAGTGCTACTTACACTTGGGCTACCTGCACCTGACTTCCTACAAATAAGTACTACACGTACTTAAGTTTACAAATACTTTAAGATAAGTAATGAATTTACTGTGAATGTATTTTACTTTGTGTGTTTTTAATGCCTAGTTCTATTACTAACTTAATATAATTTAGTGTAAACTTGTTGTCTGGCATTTATATGCATTTATAAATGGAAAAAAATGGCGTTCTGCCTTCTGGCGATGTCTGCTTTCCGGCGACAGCCTGGAACCTAACCCGCCGTATAAGTGGGGCCCTACTGCATAAGAAAGAACTATTAGGAAAGTAGAAAAAACTCAGATAAGTGCATATACATAATGGTGTACATGTCTGTGTAGTGTCACCTATGTGTAAGCAGAAAGAGCAACATGTACCTGATATCTTTGCATGTTAATGAGACAGAATCCTACTGTGGTGTAAAACAAGTACAGGTTTCCATTTCACACTCCTTTGACCTTGCTGGGTTATCCTGGGTGGCTAACACTATGATTTTAAAAAACGAAAAATCTTATCTTACAGTACTGTATAACATAATTTTGGTACACGGCATCGGTGCCAAATAATACTCACACTTTGAAGGGAAGTTTTGGGTCTGAAGTAAGGGTGATCTTGAAAGTAACTTTGGATCTGCAACAAAGGTCGAACATTATTTCCAAGTCTTGCAACCTTGATCATATTACATGACAATAAAAGCGAGGAATGGACCAACTTACCAAGGTCTGTAAAGTAAAAAGGACACAAGTGCAACTAATGTGACATTTTACTGTAGCAACATTTCACTCTCCAGGAGCTTTATCAAGCCGTTGCAAGCTCCTGGAGAGCGAAACGTTGCCACAATAAAATGTCACATTAGTTGCACTTGTGTCCTTTTACTTTACATACTGTCGGTAATTCTACCAACATTAATACAACATTAATATGACCTGTATACCCAGTTTTTTAAAAGTTTGGTAATACTGGGTTATGTTATCAAACTTATGTACCAAAATAAAGTTTCTCTTACAATCACTTACAATACAACTCCACTGCACAACCCACTCAATAAAAAAATTTACATAATAAAATTATATTCTTATTTTGCCTCTTATCATGTAAACAATTTCCACAAGAGGTCGTAAAACTGTTATTTATAGTACAAAATGTTAATAGATTTCTGTTTCCAGATGATGTTCATAATGAGGCATTGTATGGCTGTGAAGAATACCTGCTACCCCAATGGAAATACATGGACCCCAATGGAAATACACGACCCCAATGGAAATACATGGACCCCAATGGAAATACATGGACCCCAATGGAAATACATGGACCCCAATGGAAATACATGGACCCCAATGGAAATACAAGGACCCCAATGGAAATACATGGACCCCAATGGAAATACATGGACCCCAATGGAAATACAAGGACCTCAATGGAAATACACGGACCCCAATGGAAATACACGGACCCCAATGGAAATACACGGACCCCAATGGAAATACACGGACCCCAATGGAAATACACGGACCCCAATGGAAATACACGGACCCCAATGGAAATACAAGGACCCCAATGGAAATACAAGGACCCCAATGGAAATACATGGACCCCAATGGAAATACATGGACCCCAATGGAAATACATGGACCCCAATGGAAATACAAGGACCCCAATGGAAATACAAGGACCCCAATGGAAATACAAGGACCCCAATGGAAATACATGGACCCCAATGGAAATACAAGGACCCCAATGGAAATACAAGACCCCAATGGAAATACATGGACCCAATGGAAATACAAGGACCCCAATGGAAATACAAGGACCCCAATGGAAATACATGGACCCCAATGGAAATACAAGGACCCCAATGGAAATACAAGGACCCCAATGAAAATACATGGACCCCAATGGAAATACAAGGACCCCAATGGAAATACATGGACTCCAATGGAAATACATGGACCCCAATGGAAATACAAGGACCCCAATGGAAATACATGGACCCCAATGGAAATACATGGACCAAAATAGAAATACATGGACCAAAATGGAAATACAAGGACCCCAATAATGGAAATACAAGGACCCCAATAATGGAAATACAAGGACCCCAATAATGGAAATACAAGGACCCCAATAATGGAAATACAAGGACCCCAATAATGGAAATACAAGGACCCCAATAATGGAAATACAAGGACCCCAATAATGGAAATACATGGACTCCAATGGAAATACATGGACCCCAATGGAAATACAAGGACCCCAATGGAAATACATGGACCCCAATGGAAATACAAGGACCCCAATGGAAATACAAGGACCCCAATGGAAATACAAGGACTCCAATGGAAATACATGGACTCCAATGGAAATACAAGGACCCTAATGGAAATACAAGTACTCCAATGGAAATACAAGGACTCCAATGGAAATACAAGGACTCCAATGGAAATACAAGGACTCCAATGGAAATACAAGGACTCCAATGGAAATACAAGGACCCCAATGGAAATACAAGTACTCTAATGGAAATACAAGGACTCCAATTGAAATACAAGGACTCCAATGGAAATACATGGACCCCAATGGAAATACAAGGACCCCAATGGAAATACAAGGACCCCAATGGAAATACAAGGACCCCAATGGAAATACAAGGACCCCAATGGAAATACATGGACTCCAATGGAAATACATGGACTCCAATGGAAATACATGGACTCCAATGGAAATACAAGGACCCCAATGGAAATACAAGTACTCTAATGGAAATACAAGGACTCCAATTGAAATACAAGGACTCCAATGGAAATACATGGACCCCAATGGAAATACAAGGACCCCAATGGAAATACAAGGACCCCAATGGAAATACAAGGACCCCAATGGAAATACAAGGACCCCAATGGAAATACATGGACTCCAATGGAAATACATGGACTCCAATGGAAATACATGGACTCCAATGGAAATACAAGGAACCCAATGGAAATACAAGGACCCCAATGGAAATACAAGGAATCCAATGTAAATACATGGACTCCAATGGAAATACATGGACTCCAATGGAAATACAAGGACCCCAATTCAAATACAAGGACTCTAATGGAAATACAAGGACCCCAATGGAAATACAAGGACTCCATTGGAAATACATGGACTCCAATGGAAATACAAGGACCCCAATGGAAATACAAGGACACCAATGGAAATACAAGGACCCCAATGGAAATACAAGGACTCCAATGGAAATACATGGACTCCAATGGAAATACATGGACTCCAATGGAAATACATGGACTCCAATGGAAATACATGGACTCCAATGGAAATACATGGACTCCAATGGAAATACATGGACTCCAAATGGAAATACATGGACTCCAATGGAAATACATGGACTCCAATGGAAATACATGGACTCCAATGGAAATACATGGACTCCAATGGAAATACATGGACTCCAATGGAAATACATGGACTCCAATGGAAATACATGGACTCCAATGGAAATACAAGGACTCCAATGGAAATACAAGGACTCCAATGGAAATACAAGGACCCCAATGGAAATACATGGACTCCAATGGAAATACATGGACTCCAATGGAAATACATGGACTCCAATGGAAATACATGGACTCCAATGGAAATACATGGACTCCAATGGAAATACATGGACTCCAATGGAAATACATGGACCCCAATGGAAATACAAGGACCCCAATGGAAATACAAGGACTCCAATGGAAATGTGTCACTTTGACTATTTTAGTTATCCTGGTGGGTAATTTACACTATGTACGATAACTGTACTTATGTACCTGTGTCTAAATAACTTACAGCAGTGAGGTGACCAGGAGGGGCAGTGAGGTGATCAGGAGGGGCAGTGAGGTGATCAGGAGGGGCAGTGAGGTGATCAGGAGGGGCAGTGAGGTGATCAGGAGGGGCAGTGAGGTGATCAGGAGGGGCAGTGAGGTGATCAGGAGGGGCAGTGAGGTGACCAGGAGGGGCAGTGAGGTAACCAGGAGGGGCAGTGAGGTGATCATTAGGGGCAGTGAGGTGATCAGGAAGGGCAGTGAGGTGACCAGGAGGGGCAGTGAGGTGACCAGGAGGGGCAGTGAGGTGACCAGGAGGGGCAGTGAGGTGACCAGGAGGGGCAGTGAGGTAAACCAGGAGGGGCAGTGAGGTGATCATTAGGGGCAGTGAGGTGATCAGGAAGGGCAGTGAGGTGACCAGGAGGGGCAGTGAGGTGATCAGGAGGGGCAGTGAGGTGACCAGGAGGGGCATTGAGGTGACCAGGAGGGGCAGTGAGGTGATCATAGGGGCATGAGGTAACCAGAGGGGCAGTGAGGTGACCAGGAGGGGCAGTGAGGTGATCATTAGGGGCAGTGAGGTGATCAGGAAGGGCAGTGAGGTGACCAGGAGGGGCAGTGAGGTGATCATTAGGGGCAGTGAGGTGATCAGGAAGGGCATTGAGGTAACCAGAGGGGCAGTGAGGTGATCATTAGGGCAGTGAGGTGATCAGGAAGGGCAGTGAGGTGACCAGGAGGGGCAGTGAGGTGATCAGGAAGGGCAGTGAGGTGACCAGGAGGGGCAGTGAGGTGATCAGGAGGGGCAGTGAGGTGATCAGGAAGGGCAGTGAGGTGACCAGGAGGGGCAGTGAGGTGATCAGGAGGGGCAGTGAGGTAACCAGGAGGGGCAGTGAGGTGATCAGGAAGGGCAGTGAGGTAACCAGGAGGGGCAGTGAGATGATCAGGAAGGGCAGTGAGGTAACCAGGAGGGGCAGTGAGATGATCGGGAAGGGCAGTGAGGTGACCAGGAGGGGCAGTGAGGTGATCAGGAGGGGCAGTGAGGTGATCAGGAGGGGCAGTGAGGTAACCAGGAAGGGCAGTGAGGTAACCAGGAGGGGCATCAACTTACGTCATGGTGACAGCTGTTGTTTACCTCCTCCAGGTGACTGATGTTTCTCGCCGCCGCCGCCAGGTGACTCTCACCTCTCACCAGCACCAAAATATTCACTTTATTAAACTCATTTAACCACAAGATGGCTTTCCAATTCATCAGATTATAAACTACATAATTATTGTCATGCTTTTCGAAAGAAAATCATAATTGATCAGCATCTATGAGATATTTAATAATCCGAACCAAATCTGCCAGCAGTGGCATGACTAGGGACCCCAATGAAAATTAGGACCCTTAATGGAAATCAGTCATTTTGACATTTCTGGGGTTTATCTTAAGTTATTTGCACATATGTTATTATGTACGATCATTGTAATTACTTAAGTTTTTATAATTGTATATATATGTACCTGGTACTTAAATATATTTATTTACTGCGGCCTGAGTCAAATGAAGCCGGCTCTAGAGGGGCTCCAGGTGTCGGTAACTGGTAGTTCGGACGGTGACTTAAAGCTCAGTGTACCAGTCTTAACGCCACAACTCAATGCCCTGAATTTAATCATTTAAGATAAGATAAGATAAGAATTGTTGGGATTTTTTAACCTGAGGGAGGGTTAACCACCCAGGATAACCCTGTAGTCAATGCGATATCGGGGACTGTCTCTTATTTCCATTGTTACACAACAGTAGACTAACACCTAGGTACCTACTTCCTGCTAGGTGAACAGGGACAGCAGGTGTAATGCGACTAACGCCTAGATACCTACTTACTGCTAGGTAAACATGGACAACAGGTATAAGGTGACTAACACCCAGGTACCTACTTACTGCTAGGTGAAGAGAGACAGCAGATGTAAGGAAACATGACCAATGTTTCCAGCCGTGCCGGGAACTGAACCACGGACACTCAGTGCGTGAAGCAAGAGCGTTGCTAACCGAGCCACGGGACGAAATGTATGAACTGGTCCCCCTGACATCTGCTTCCCCATTTTCACTTAGCAGTAAACAGGACCATAGGATCCCAGCTCCCAGGGACGCTTGTAGGCGTCCCTCTGGACGAATCTGCTGAGATCTCTTCCTTATTTCAGCAACATTGCAAGCTCCTAATGATGTGTTGATTGCAACAGGAAAGGCCTAGAGCTACTATTCAACTCCCCCTGAAAATAAATCTTCCGGTAGTTATAAGTTAAATTTAAAACTGCCAGAAATACTCTGCAGAACCAGGAGCTTTATGTCAACTGTTACTAAAGCAACTGTATTATGTACTTATGTACCACACTCCAGTAACAAGTGTCAGGGGAAAGTGGCCAGTGACCAACGTCAGCAACCACAGTCACAGCATCCTGGAATAACAGGGATAACTTGCAATAGCCATCAGCCGCTCGGCTTCAAACCTTCACAAAAGTTGTCTCATAAAGTTGACTATTTTACCTGAGAAAATTTACCATGGCACTTATTTTTCCAGTTTAATTATCATGATTAAAATATATGTATCACATCTGAGTGGCTTCGTATTTCATAATAATAATAATAATAATAATAATAATAACTAATATAATAATAATAATAATAATAATAATATTATTATTCTTATTATTATTATATTATTATTATATTATTATTATTATTATTATTATATTATATATTATTATTATTATTATAAATACCGAAGCCACTCAGATGTGATACATATATTTTAATCATGATAATTAAACTGGAAAAATAAGTGCCATGGTAAATTTTCTCAGGTAAAATAGTCAACTTTATGAGACAACTTTTGTGAAGGTTTGAAGCCGAGCGGCTGAGGCTATTGCAAGTTATCCCTGTTATTCCAGGATGCTGTGACTGTGGTTGCTGACGTTGGTCACTGGCCACTTTCCCCTGACACTTGTTACTGGAGTGTGGTCCTCCTGTGACTGTGGTTGCTGACGTTGGTCACTGGCCACTTTCCCCTGACACTTGTTACTGGAGTCTGGTCCTCCTGTGACTGTGGTTGCTGACGTTGGTCACTGGCCACTTTCCCCTGACACTTGTTACTGGAGTCTGGTCCTCCTGTGACTGTGGTTGCTGACGTTGGTCACTGGCCACTTTCCCCTGACACTTGTTACTGGAGTCTGGTCCTCCTGTGACTGTGGTTGCTGACGTTGGTCACTGGCCACTTTCCCCTGACACTTGTTACTGTAGTCTGGTCCTCCTGTGACTGTGGTTGTTAAGAGGAGAGAGAGAAGAAGAGAGAGAGGAGAGAGAGAGAGAGAGAGAGAGAGAGAAGAAGAGAGAGAGAGAGAGAGAGAGAGAGAGAGAGAGAGAGAGAAGAGAGAGAGGAGAGAGAGAGAGAGAGAGAGAGAGAGAGAGAAGAGAGAGAAGAGAGAGAGAGAGAGAGAGAGAGAGAGAGAGAGAGAGAGAGAGAGAGAGAGAGAGAGAGAGAGAGAGAGAGAGAGAGAGAGAGAGAGAGAGAGAGAGAGAGAGAGAGAGAGAGAGAAATCTGAAAAGTTAGGAGGAAAAAAATCAGAGACCTAATTTAAGATTTCCCCCTCCAGGGATACCTAATAAGCCATGTTGCATAGCTCGAGTTTACTGTAGGTCTGGTCTACTGTAGGTCTAGTCTACTGTAGGTCTGGTATACTGTAGGTCTAATCTACTCTAGGTCTGGTCAGTTGTAGGTCTGGTCTACTCTAGGTCTGGTCGCTGTAGGTCTGGTCTGCTGTAGGTCTGGTCTACTGTAGGTCTGGTCTACTGTAGGGATGGCCTACTGTAGGTCTGGTCTACTGTAGGGCTGGTCTGCTGTAGGTCTTGTCTGCTGTAGGTCTGATCTGCTGTAGTTACTGACTAAAACAAACAACATTGTTACGTTTTCTCTTATTCCAGAAAAAAATAAAAAAAACGATCTTAAATGATGAACTATTTTAAAATCTTGGGAGGTAATTCATTCACCTCCCTCGAAGAAGGAAGGAGGGAGAGAAAGAAGAAAGAGGAGGAGGAAGAGGAAGAGGAAGAGGAAGAGGAAGAGGAAGAGGAAGAGGAGAAGGAGACTTAATTATAATTATATGGCTAGTAATGCAGTCCAGCAGGATCCTTGCCCAGGATGCGTCCCACAACACCCCACTATTTCCTGAGTGCCTGCCTATTGAGGAATAACAGGAACGAGGAGACTTAACCCACACGTCTCTCCCTGCCCAGGATTATACCCGAGCACTTCGGTTGCTAGCTTAACACTGCTAATTTGCCGGGAGGTGCTCAGCTGCAGTAAATAGACCTAAAGAGGCACCTAAGTTCTCCCGTCTTCTAAAAACATATTCATTTTCCCCTATAATCTACCGTGTCCATAATTACTATCACATTTGCTTTGTTTGTTTCGTAAGGTGAAGTCCAGGATCTTTCTTTAATTCATGGTATAACTTAACAAATATTTGAAGATAACTGTGCTGCGGAAGTCTGAGTTGTGCTCATTGTGAGGACAATTGTGTTGTAGAGGTCTGAGCTGTGCTCATTTTGAGGACAATTGTGTTGTAGAGTTCTGAGTTGTGCTCATTTTGAGGGCAATTGTGTTGTAAAGGTCTGAGTTGTGCTCATTTTGAGGGCAATTGTGTTGTAGAGGTCTGAGCTGTGCTCATTTTGAGGGCAATTGTGTTGTAGAGGTCTGAGTTGTGCTCATTTTGAGGACAATTTTGTTGTAGAGGTTGAGTTGTGCTCATTGTGAGGACAATTGTGTTGTAGAGGTCTGAGTTGTGCTCAATGTTTATCTGGAGTTTACCTGGAGAGAGTTCCGGGGGTCAACGCCCCCGCGGCCCGGTCCGTGACCAGGCCTCCTGGTGGATCAGAGCCTGATCAACCAGGCTGTTGCTGCTGGCTGCACGCAAACCAACGTACGAGCCACAGCCCGGCTGATCAGGAACCGACTTTAGGTGCTTGTCCAGTGCCAGCTTGAAGACTGCCAAGGGTCTGTTGGTAATCCCCCTTATGTGTGCTGGGAGGCAGTTGAACAGTCTCGGGCCCCTGACACTTATTGTATGGTCTCTTAACGTGCTAGTGACACCCCTGCTTTTCATTGGGGGGATGTTGCATCGTCTGCCAAGTCTTTTGCTTTCGTAGTGAGTGATTTTCGTGTGCAAGTTCGGTACTAGTCCCTCTAGGATTTTCCAGGTGTATATAATCATGTATCTCTCCCTCCTGCGTTCCAGGGAATACAGGTTTAGGAACCTCAAGCGCTCCCAGTAATTGAGGTGCAGTTGTGTTGTAGAGGTCTGAGTTGTGCTCATTGTGAGGACAATTGTGTTGTAGATGTCTGAGTTGTGCTCATTGTGAGAACAATTTTGTTGCAGAAGTCTGAGCATAGATCTCTGCAACACAATTGTCATCAAAGATTTGCTAAGTTATACCCTGAATTAAAGAAAGATCCTGTACTTCACTTTATTAAACAGGCAAAAACAAATACGATAGTAATTATGTACAAGGTTGATTATAGTGGAAAAATAAGCATGTTATTAGGTGACGGGGGCACTAAGGTGCCTCTTAAGGAACGCCTGCGTTCAACACCGACATTTCTGAACCTCTTGACAAGTTACTTCTGAACCCCCTGTCAAGTTACATCAGTAATAATAAAGTCGATACATCTGTAGTAGTTAGAAGCAAGTAAGTAAGTTTATTCAGGTATACACAATACAGTTACATAGAATTATCATACATAGCAGCATACGTGTAGGGAACCTGGGATAACACAAACAAGTCAGACTGAGTGACTTATTTCCATTGGTGTCCCTAGTGAAATTCCCTCTATAATTACTTGAGTACAAGTGCTACTTAAGTACTAGTAACACTTGTACTCAAGAGTGAGTGTAGTAACAGCAAGTATGTACTCTAGCATGGTGAGTGTTAATGTAGCAGGAAGTATGTACTCTAGCATGGTGAGTGTTAATGTAGCAGTAGATATGTACTCTAGCATGGTGAGTGTTAATGTAGCAGCAGATATGTACTCTAGCATGGTGAGTGTTAATGTAGCAGCAGATATGTACTCTAGCATGGTGAGTGTTAATGTAACAGCAGGTATGTACTCTATCATGGTGAGTGTTAATGTAGCAGCAGATATGTACTCTA